ACAAACATAAAAAAGGGGGGGTTCCAAAAAAACATACACAAAACATACACATAAAAAAAAAATCAATATTATTCAGAACATACAAATTACCATGTCCATTGTCTGTCGAACTCTTTGATTAATTATATATCTCTCATCTGCTCTTTCACTCTTAACCACATTCTCTCCCTCTCCCTCTCTCTCTCCCTCTCCCTTTCAACCATTCCACTATTTATTATCACTTTCCGTTATCTGGCTGTCTCACTTACTCTTTTTTCTCTCTCTTACCGTGATTTTACATTTTGCTAGATTGTTCTGTATGTTTTTTTACAACGTAACTTGTTTCACTGACATAATTTATACTAAGCATAACAAAAATTTGGGGGAAAGGATTCTACTTCCTATTAGTGTGTATGGGTGTGTTACCATCCCCCAATAAACCAGCACATCAAGCAGCTAAACAGAAACATCCAAATTTCTCTCTTAAAAGTTCACAACTTTTTCTCTTATGAACATGAAAACAGCATTGAAGCTGATGAGGCCTCCCTGAATAACTGTTGACGTAAGAAAAAAATCAAAAGATTTTATGTTTGCTTTCTTTCCTACACAATTGGTTGCCTTACCACGTTGATGTTATTATTTGTCTAAAGGATTACTTCACAAAATTGTGTTGAACTCCAATACCGTAAAGGACTGTGTATAGTTATTTAGGTCCAATAATTTATATAGTCCTGGAAGTTGATGTTTCCTTTTGAAGGAAGCTGCATGGTTGTATTGTGTTATATCATGCAAGAGCGACTTCCTCAATTAAATTTCACTTAAGCGGAGGTCATTAAGTTATAATAAACACGGAATATTATGATTCGTAAAGAAAACCTTGCTAGGTGAAACAAACTTTAACTTCCGTTTGATGTTTGTTTGAATTGGATAGTCATAATATTTGACGTCATGATATTAAAAGGACACGAGTGTATAATAAGTACATCATATGAGTTTGCATTATATCTGTCATTTTATTCATAAATAAATATATTGAAGGAAATTCAGAATGATATTTAAGGGTATAAACTAGTTTTTGAATTGTAAATCCTTCGACCGTTTCCAATATTCATATTACTCCGGTTGTCTCATTTTCGCCAGCACAAACGCAGCTAGTTCGCCGTCTATAGAAAGAATATATCAGACGGCAATCGGCGGATCAGACCACACTTGATAGTGATTTTGTATGTGAGATTGCTTTGCTAAATATAAAATACAAGAACCTTTTCCATATCTTTAAACTATCATTGATATCTGATAATTAAACAGTTAGTAAAATAAACCTACCAAACTATATAATACAATGAAATACTTGACTGAAAGTAGGGGAGTTTGATGTGGTGCACAATTGCACCCCTCTGTTAATAATCGAATAGTCCATGGTGTGTCATGAATATTTATGTTTTTGCTTACTTTGGCAAAATGTTTGCCTTTACTAAATGGACAAATTACGGTGGGGTTGGCTGAAGTGGACATAATGAACCAAGCAGAACTGATCTATGATAATTCATGCTTGTTATCCTTCGTGTGCTTGACCTATAATCTTACAATCGCGTGGTAAATTGTGTCCAAAGTTCGACTTGTTACACATGCGTTATATAGGCAATGGCGAGCTTGCAACCTATTTTGATCAAATACAGTGGGTTAACTTTCAAAAGTCAATGGGACATTAGGGTTCCAATGAAAGACCTAGTGTCAACGTACGTCTTGGTGGATGTGCTTTTCGTTTAAACAAAAAAAAATGATTTTGTAACGATTTCTTTTGGTAAAAGTCCATAGGCTAACATGTTTATAGGCTGCTGGACTCTGGTGATATGGGGCGTTGCCAAATGAGACTAAACGGAGCTATATAATTAAGTTACTTTAAATGTATAATCCAAAATGCAAACAGCATTTTTTTAAACGCGAGTACTTTATTCACATTATATATTTTTTTTGTAATGCTTTAAAAAAAAGGAATGCGTGTACCTTATACACATTATTATATATACCATGTATACAACTGTTTCCTCAATTCAAATAATATTAGGTATTTGCACATTTGCACATCACACTTACAAACTTACAAACATATAAGTATATCTACCTCTGTATTATAGAATCACATGTGTAGGTATACCAAAGAGCCTAATAACTCATTGGGTAAACGTCATTCAACACAAACACACACAAAAACACACACACGCACATACACACACACACACACACACACTGCATGCAACCCGTTCCGGAGATTTCCTTCCTCATAAAATTCACATTACAAAAGAATTATCACAGTATGTAATACAAAGCAAGATCTACGTACGATACAAAACATTTCATGAATTACAATGAACATAGAAAAATCTCAGATCATACATGTTTGTACATTGGTTTTTTCGTGTAACAGTTAATAATCAAAATAACCATAGAGGAAGGTATGAATTTTACCTAGCTCGACCCAATCACACACTTGCACACCCACAACTCACACCACACAAACTCTTCACGCCTCACCCCCCCCCCCCCCCCTCTAGCCCACCCACCTTACACCACCCCCTTCACGCCGACACACACACTGCATGCAACCTGTTCCGGTTAGTTCACCTGTACAAGAGAGAGAATTATAAAAAATAAAATAATAAAATAATAATAATAATAATACCCACATTCATTAAAGTAAAAATGCATCGATTAGTTCCCATTTCTGTAAATGCATCCCCAGTTTCCCCCTTTTGAAGGCTATTTTGTATTCCTCGTCTCTGTAATCTTTCAGCATATGTACTACTTTATGTACAGGTGGCAGAGTTCCTTGTTTTCTAGAAATAAAAATGATATACTTTACTAGAAATATGATACAATTTATTACAAACATTAATTCTAGCAGTATTGCCGGATATTCCAATATCATGTTTGATCATGTTTTTCCCTATTCGCGCAAGACCGCCATCTCTTGTCAGAAAAGGAAGGTCAGACTGTGCGTTAGATTCACCACTATTCAACTAAAATAGAAATGATTACTACAACTTGCATTTCTACTCTACACGAAGAGAGTTGTGCTTGGTTTGCTACTGTATTCTTTATTAAAGTGAAGATAAACAAATGATAACTGCATTGTAACTTTTCCTGTCATTTTATTGTATTCTCTTGGATATTCGAATGTATTACACCAAAGAATACCCGTATTCTCTTAATTTCGTAGAACCAAACGCTGCGACGATGAAAATCTCGGAATATGTAGTTGTGATATATAATTATCAAACGGGAATAGATAATCGGTCGATTTCAGTCAAGAAACATTGTTTTATAGCTTAATTAATATCTTGACCTTGAGAGGGAGGTATACAACATAAAACGTTTATTATTTTAAAAATGTATAACTTAAGACTCGATTTCAACCGCGACAACTATCACTAAATATTGTAGGGTCGCATATGCTTCCCATATGTTCATTTGAACCAAATTCATGACTCCATACAAAAACTTTGTATTACCTTTAAATGGAGTGATACTATTATTACGCTCTAATCCTTAGTTCACATGCGAGGCGGTATCTAGCATCTCTAGCGAGAAAATCTGTTTGATAAATCTACGATATGCCTCTGCACGAATTACCAGCCTACTATACGTATATACAAAGCGTGTTTAGTTAATGTATCGGTACATCATTTACCGAGCTAGGTATCATAACATCCGTGAATTACTTTGGCTGGTGTATATATGGTGAAACATTTCCCAAATCCCTTCGATGTTTGCTCTCGAGAGTGGTAGGCAATTAGGTACCCTGTTGCATTCCAATTATAATCTTTCATTTCAATGTTCATTAATCGTAAATCAGGCACATAGCGAACATTACTTTTCCATTCCTCTCGCTTTTTCTTATCTCCCCCTCTCTCTCTCTCTTTCTCTCTCTCTTTCTGTAAACCTCTCCCTTTCCCTTACTCTTGCAAACAACACCATGACCATTGTCTCTCTTGGTTTCTCTGACCAAGCTGTTCCGCTTTATCAAACAGAACGATATGATACATTGTATTTCGTATTCTGTTCCACTTTTCTGTCTGCATGTATACCTACATCCTTCCCCTCCCCTTATTATCTCTCTCTCTCTCTCTCTCTCTCCCAATCCTCTATCAATTCTTGCCAACCACTCACTACCTTCTCCATTCCTTTCCTCTCACATTCTTTCTTTTCATCGTGCATCTCTCTCTCTCTCTCTTCCCCCTCCCCCTCTCTCTCTCTCTCTCTTTCTCTCTTCACCCTCTCCCTCTTCCTATTTCCTTTTCTCTCTACCTTCCTATATACGAGGGGAGAGATTAAGAATGAGATTATTAAACCTAAAATTGATAACCACGGCTCATGAATTATTGTTTGATCGTAGAATTTAAAATCTCATCTTGAAAAGAGATTGAAATCTTCCCCAATCGCAAATCCACGAAATGCTCATCCGACCATACATTGTACTTGTCATATCTTCTCTTATCTGTTATTGAATTAGTCTGTTTGTATCAATTTGTATCAGATTTTCATAATCAAATCACGAAGTTTAGATGCATTTGATGTGAGCTATGTCCATTGCTTACGATTTTTATTTTCACCCAACGCAGGCTCTTTCGCTCTCTCTCTCTATCTCTCTCTCTCTTGCTTTCTCTCTCTATGTCACTTTCTTTCGCTCTCCTTTCTATTCATCTTCCCTTTTAGCTGCTTCTATCTCCAGTTACCCACTTCTGGTCGGTCCATATCTGTCTCTCTCTATCCATGTTCTCTTTCTGTTTCTTTATCTCGCTCATATTTCCTCATTCTGTCCGTCCTCCTTCACATCTCTCTCTCTCTCTCTCTCTCTCTCTCTCTTTATATATCTGTCTCCACCACTCTCCTTCCCCCCCCCCCCTCTCTCTCTCTCTCTCTCTCTCTCTCATTTCATCCCTTTCTTATTTTCTCAGCTTACCATGATTAGCTTTCTCTCTCTCTCTCTCTCTTTCTCTCATCTCCAACCAATCACATCCCTCTCGTTTAGATAATACGCCGCTCGTTAACATCCTGCGCTCTCCGTGCATCCCTGCCAGCCATTAATAATTCTTCAGCTCCCCCATCTTCGTGCAGCTCATCCGGTGAAGGAGGTTGACGAGAGGACGAGATGAGAGAGGAGAGAAGGAGCTGGGACCATAACAAACGGATCATTATCATTCACTGATGCAGGCCTGCATCTCACAGTGCTCCCGCCTATAATCCTCGGGATAGTAAATTGCAAAACGCGTAATTCTACAGGGAAAATAGTAAACATGAGACCAAATTGAAGACAAATTGCACATTTTCCATGGATCTAGATGTAGAGTTGACTGGTGTCTACATCACCCAGGCAAGACGATGTATTGAGGCGATATTCATGCCAATGTAAAGGTAAGGCACAGAGGATTTATTGCAGTTTAATACGTCTAGCATTTTTGTATGAAGAATTATAATTAGCGTACTCCGATCACGAGATGAAGAAAACGTAGGGAACTCTTATGCACTATTTGGCAATGTAATTCACCAAATCCATGTATTTGTAAACATATGTATATATATATATATATCTGACGAAATATATTGACACCGGTAGTAGTATAATGAACTATGTGGGATTTTTTATTTCAATTGTAACATTGTATGTGACATATTGATACTCATACATATACCACTTTTAATATAAACTACGCACCTGTTATTCTGTCATGTTCTTTTTATAAATCACGAGTATGTTCCCAGCGCTGTTTATATATGTCGTATCCCCACACACATGTAGATTTTTTTTTTTAGAAAGTATCAAGACCATTTAGATGTAATATCCGACCCCCACCCCATATTATCTCTTTGCTCATAATAATAAAGTTAGAAAATTAGTTCCTATATCATAGGCCTACTACAATTTTGTAGGACAAATCTATTAGACTCGACGTTGATGGTATAGATTTAACAACCATCGCTGATTATGTTTTGGTTGATCTACTTCAATTTCTTCTATGCTTCCCGCTTTTTCAATTTTATAATTGGCAATCTGTTATGACCCCTTTTTATGGAGGTTTGATCCTGTTAGTGCGATCGTTCAAGTGACGAGTTAATGATATGGATTTGTGTCTATAATGGTAACGTTTGGAAATAAATTGTAACACAAAGTGAATGACTTTCCGCTAGGGATATGAGCAAATTTCTCGTTACACGTTTCCCTCATGGACTGTTTGCATTAATATTGTATGCAATATAATTTACCAGACTCGCAATTCGTTGTTCTTGTTTAGCCTTGACATTTTTTACTCAGTGGTAATGAAGAATAGAACGGGAATAGATGAGACAATGTTCATTCATGACAACCAGTTGAACGTAAAGTATTTACAATGAGTATTACTCTTTGCAATGAACCTTTAAGCGTAATTATGAAAAAAGCATTCTTTACATTTTGAGATTTTATAGAGTTTTGGGTAAGGTAATAAAAACAATTTTTAAATCGATTTTGACGAGATTAACTTAATACACCAAGATGATTAATTAACTTGTTTCCGTTAAAACTCTGGTACCTGATAACATACAATCGGCTATCCATGCAAATAGGATAATCAACGATATTTTACCGAACATCATTATCATTATCCAGTATGGGGGGCTTAGAATATCGTAATACGTACGATGACACCGGGAGCCGTGTTAGGATAATACTTGGGAAGAGAGCTCGGAGATTCTTGTATTCTTTTGTGTACATGTGCCTAGCGATATTGGGGGGGGGGGGGGGGGGCTTGAAAGGAAGAAAAAAACCTCTAGAACCTACTGAATGATCCAGGCGAGTGTTATATATGTTCAACAAGTTGGAAAAAAAAATTACTGCACATTCGCGAAGGGGAATTCCAATTTGGTGTCTCTTCTCATTCCCTCCCTCTGTTTTGAGCCATCGAATCTCCCAATCTAGGACACCTAATCAAAATTCAATTTACATGGAGAAGGGCGGGAGCGTGTACCTGATGCATTTTCTTAAAACACAACCATGGACAATCTTCTATACTAGGTGAATTCATGTTTCATGTTAATTACGCCTTATTCGCCTCAGGGCATCTCATTTTGGATGATGAATTAATTTACATTTTGTTCTATTACCAACAGCAAATGAAATGATTTTGTTTTGTTGTAATACTACATTCTTTCGTTTGATATGGTAAGCCTACATACATAGTCCTTTCCATTCCAAGAAAATTGTATAACGTTAAAAAATATATATCGATATTATCTTTAGAGCTTGGCTGCCCTTGTCACATTTAGGCACAATTTGGATCATGTTCGGAATATATCATGCCCTGTTGTGAAAACAAGTGTGCTGAGGGGGTGGTGTGCTTAACATATGAATTACATGGGAATTTTACCCTACACAAAAATAGTCATTTCCTATTTTCAGTATTAGGAAAAATATATATTTCAATAAAAGATGCAGATTGCTCCAAAATAAATATTTTAGAGCAAATTGTTGATTTTTACAAATGTTGACAAATATTAAAAATGATCATCACGAAGTATGAACGCTTTTATTGCAAGTAAGGTCTGTGGTGTAAAGAAAGACATTCATAGAAATCATCATTTCACTATGATTTCTCCATGAATAAAAATAATACCGAAGGCATTCCGGAATGGCACAGATTGTCAGCTCTCTTGCCCTCTATTCATGTATTTAATAGTAATATGTTAAACTAAGTAATTATTTCGGGCTGTACTTAGAATGATTAGTTTCTCAAAACTTAATTCTACACCGAGTAATTGAAAACGAGCTTGCTAAAAATGATTGGATCATGGAGATTATAGTTATATTTCCATGATTGGATTTCGCATTTTTGATTTTTAAATGACACCGCTGTCAATATAGATCACGGCGCTTCTATATTTAATAACCTTCTTATTTTCATCATATCTTTTTCCAATTATGATTTATAAATACCTGGAATCCTACGTAAATCGCAATTATCACAAACTATAAAGTCAATCTAACACATGAATCTTCGATAATAAAAGTATGTATGGCGAAAGATGAAATTGCAATTAGACGTCATTTTTCATTATGTTTAGTGTCTAACAAAATCAATTTAAAGAGGCTAAAGTACGTTTAGCGTTAGAGTTAGAAGAAGGATAAAATCTCGCATTAGGTTTAAAATGCAGTCTAACCTTGGTAATGAGTTTTTTTTTATGAGAGCAACAAATAATAGAATTGTAAAGGCTTGAAATAGATCGGGCTAATAGTACGAAAGATATGAGTGATGGTAATATGAAGTCACTAAATCTTTGCGAATCTTTGTGAATCTCAAATTGGCATTATGGTCAGTGGATTATTGCGTATAGACGATCAATTTTCCTGTTAGTTGTGTACACAAATATGAATTTCGGACTCATTCTAAAGGGTTTTCTTCATTAGGGCACACCTCAACGTATATAATACATAATAGATAAAAACATGTATATCTTATTCTATTTCGTTCAAACTGTCACAACTTTGCTTCCCTGACTTTTACTGCTTTTTACTAGAGTTGCATTATCCTTTAAGTTAATGGAAAGTTAATGATGGATATTTTGCCGTCTTGTCCCTTGTAAAACTACACCCGTCATGTCAGCTAATCTATTGCTCTAGGCTAAATGAAATATTCTAGAAAAGTACTTCATCAGATAATGTATTACCGAGAGTGCATTTCTTTCTGCAAGATTAAGTGCTCGAAATATCGACTTTAGGAGGACTCTTTTAAATGGCATTTTTGACAGATTCTAATTCTGATTGATATTAAAAGGAAAATGTCCCCACAATAACATTTGAGCGACACTGTAAGAAAACAACTATGATCTTGCACCTCGTTCTTTTGATTTCTATTAATATTTCATGGAAAACATTTCAGAAGGTTTATATACATTATCTTCCATCACCAAAATGACGGAAACCTCTTTAGGCATGTGCGTGTGTGTAATTGGGTTTTACAGACGTGTATCAATCAGATATGATTATTTACGTCTGGGGACCGACCTTTAAAAGTCACCATCCGAAAGACGTGACTCAGTTTCGAGCCTGTGTCATCGGCTGAATCTATAAGGGGTAGCTTCTTAAATATCAAGGAGCAGTTGTTGACTTTAATATTGAATAACTTATCTAACAGAGGGTTTAGATGACCATGGTCAGAGTAAGAATATTGCAACAAATATTTAGAATATCAAGGGTCACACCCTAAGATGAGTCTCCTCTCCACGCATTGCATTTCATCGTAACGCCCGCACACAAACAAGCACGCACATACACGCACCCAAGAACACGCGCGCGCACACAGGCACACATACCTATCAAATACCTTTCTTTTCCAACGAAAAAACTAATGAATGCCGAAGGATATATCTTCGGATTTATATGAGTTTCAGGGGGAGGGGTACACCAAAATGTATCCCTTAACCGTCCTAACGACCCCCCCCCCCCCACCTCCACACCGCCCTGGCACACACGCACACACACGCACACACACACACGCAAACATCTCCGCGTCAAAAACATTTATTTTACAACGTACAAAAATCAGACCTTCTCTGTTAAAAGGCCCCTCTCTTTTAGCATTCCCCTCGGTATAGAACTAATTTAGAATTTGATTTTGAAAGGCTTGTCTTCCTGATGTCGCCAATGGGACACTTTCTCCATATTGGTTACAACCCGACCTTGAAATTGAACGCAACCGTAACGGGCAATGTAGACATCAATGACCTCTCACCAGGGACACTTTCCCCTTACAGAGACCCTCAATGGTACATATAATTCATCGATCGTTAGGAGAACAGGGGCCCACCAAACTGATGTTGAAGGTCTTGAATTATTCATCCAAACTCAAGTAACATCATGTTGTTGTTTTTTACACACAATCGATTTCAATATGGCCTTGGTTCAGACGATTAAGCAATTTGCAAGACGTCGGGCGTTGTTTATATTAATGTATCTTGTTGTCACTTTGACTTCAGTCTAACCAACTCCTTGGTCTAACATCATTACATGTTTCCATTTTTGTACTTATAACGTTAACCTATTTGTGATGATACCTTACGTCTTCGATGCTACTTTTCAGAGAAAGACAACAGTAACGAAATGTAGAAATAATGATGATAATACCCTGGAATCTGGGCACATTTAAATATGATGAAATACTTAATACTACCTCACGGATTATCATCATTCTAATTCCATAGAAGTGTGAACTAGGCCTATATGTAAATAAAATATATAATATTTATAATAATAATAATAATATTCAGTTTTTATATAGCGCATAATACATCTAAGCGCTTTACAGAATATACAATCACCCCGGTCATGAATTTAATGCTGAACGTGTTTTATTTGCATGTGTTCACAGTATTTATGAATCCTG